TTGTGTGCATGAGGGATGGAAATAAGTCTTTTGTGTGTAGGGGGGATACTGGGTGTATGGTGATGAGAACCAACCAGTTAAAAAAAAAAGTGCACAGAGCTGGGCATGGTGGCACACACCTATAATCCCAGAACTCGGGAGGCTAAAGCAGGAGCATCTCTGTAAGTTAAAGGCCAGCCTGGGCTATGTAGTGAAATCCTGTCTCAAAAACACAAAAGCCATGAGCAGGAGCCTGGAAGACCTGGGAGTTGGAATAAGAAAGATCCCTGTCAGAATTTTTTATACCTATGCGCGCGCGTACACACACACACACACACACACACACACACACACACTGTGCATTTGGTTTGTTTTCATGTTTATTTTTTTTAAGTATTACATTTAGTGGTACATTTTAGGCGTATATAATGATCACATTCACCATAGGAAGCTTGTATCTGTACACGGAATATCTTCCTTTTGTCTTATTTTGTACCAGGAATCAATCAGGACCTTGTACTTGCCAGGCAGGTGTTTGTGCTGCTGAGCTACGACCCAGGACCCAATATTTTCCTATTCCCCAACCCTCCCTTCCACCCCTCTTCCCCTCCTTATTTACAAAAGCTGTTTCTGTTTTGTCCTTTTCTTTTCCCTGCTTTCCTTTCCCCTTCTCCTGTCCCCAGGTCCCCTTCCCATTTAAACATATTCTTCCTATTTCACCATTTCTATTATACATTTTGGTCCTTATTGACACTTTCAGTTTCTCATACAAGAGAAAGAATGTGATATTTACACGTGTGTCTGATTTATTTAAGTATGGTCTAAGAGGTGCATCCACTGAGCTAGAAAGGTCTCAGACTTACCCTTCCATTGTGTAGGATTTTTTTTTGGCCTGGCTCAGGCTGCCTTAATGGCAGGTGTGGTATGGTACGTGGAGCTGGGGATTGAACCACAGTCCCGCAAACCTGACTGGGTTTGCCCAGGCAGGTGCTTACACTGAGCTAGCCGGCAAGCCCCTATCCTTCCATTGTGTAAAAGAGAACATCTTCTTTATCAATTCATTGTTTGATGGGCTGTTTTTGGGCTGTTTCCAAGATTTACCTACTACAAACTGTGCTAGTATTAACATGGGTGTGCGTACGTTGCTGTGGTATAACGCTTCTCATTCTTTGGGGAAGATACCAGGAAGGGGAGGAGGTAGGTTGAACGGAACCCCTAGAGAACCCTTGAGGCTTCTCCACACTTCCACATTGGATCCCACAGTTTCTGAGCAGTACAAGGTGACCAGAAGGGGACTTTGGGGTGCTCTGGTGCCTTGGGGAGTGGTAGTGAGACGCTGAATACCCAGAGAGGATTGCAGGACAGACCAGACATGGGAGGAGGTGGTGCCTCCATCTTTGGGGGCCAGGCCCCAACTTTGGATGGCAAGTAGCAGCATCTCCAGGACATCACCCTGGGTCCACCCCACAACCCAGCTCTCTCATCTTTCTCTAGAGACACCCCACAAAAGCCCTGGCACAGGAACATGACAGGTGTGTGAAAGACCCTGGGCCACAATGCTAAGCACTGGACAGGGTCTCCGTGTCCCTCCACAGAGCTTCTTTGGCTTAAGACAGGGCTCAAACTCATTATGCAACCCAGGTGGGCCTGGACTCAGCCACCAGCCTCAGCCTGTCCAGTAGAGGGATTAGAGTTATGGGGTCCACATCCAGGGAAGAATACACTGTAACAGATTTGCACTGCATATCTATCCAAATTGTCAGAGTCTTCTAAAGTAAACAGCAAAAACAAGTGAGAAACACTGAGGAGGCTGAGGCAGGGGGATCTCCAGGAGCTATGTGGCAAAACCCTCTCTCAAAATAAAAAGACAGAGATGACCGGGGCCTGCGGGATCCTAAACAGACCCAGAGCTCAGGCCCGG